ATGAGCAGGCAGTATACTATTTGAGCCGAACCATGGTAGGCGCCGAATCTCGATATCCTATGATCGAGAGAGAATGCCTCGCCTTGGTGTTCGCTATTCAGAAGATGCGGCATTATCTGGTCGGGCAAACTATTTATGTCATCTCTAAAGTTAATCCGGTCCGAGTATTCATGACTCAACCAGCTTCCATGAGCTGGTGATTAGCAAAATCGGCCTTACTCTTGTCCCAATACGACTTACATTTTAAACAACAGAAGTCAGTAAAAGGGCAGGCCATCTGTGATCTCCTGGCAGCTAATCCAACTACGGACATCGCCGAGATATATGACGATCTACCCGACGAAGCCCACGAAGTCAACGTAACCTCGCACCAACAAATATGGCGTTTGTACTTTGATGGCGCCTCCCGAGCAGCCAATGTAGCAAGTGCTCCTGGAAGTTCTAAGATTTCTTTCGGAGTGGGAGTTGTCTTAGTTTCCCCAGGAAAACATGTGATGCCTCGGGCCTACTCGTTAACCGAGCCATGCTCGAATAATGTAGCAGAGTATAACGCATTGATTATAGGACTCAACTTCGCTAAGGAGCTGGGGGTTGAGTATCTCGAGGCCTTCGGCGATTCTCAGCTAATAGTCAAGCAAGTCCAAGGAGAATATGAGGTTCGAAGCCAAGATCTAATACCATACCATAAGATGGCAGTGGAGATGGCGGAATCATTCGAAGGATTCTTTATCGAACATATTCCACGGCTACAGAATACCTATGCAGACGCATTAGCAGCATTAGCCGTATCACTGGCACAGCCTCCCGAAACAGAGCAGTTTGTTACAGTAAGAACTCATCAACTCCTAGTGCCGCTTTACAATGAAGATGCCAAGGAAGAAGAAGTTCAAGAGGTACACGCTACTCAAGTCGAGTTTGAACCACGAGATTGGCGTTTCCCCATCATCGACTACGTCTTGCATGGAATCTTGCCAGAAGATGTAAAGGAAAGAGAGTCAATCCGGCGAAGAGCACCAAGATTCTACTATAATACGGAGAATCGAACGCTATACCGTAGGGGGTACGATGGGTTGCTATTGCGTTGCCTATCAACCAAAGAAGCTGAAGAGGTCCTTAGGGAGGCGCATGAAGGAGAATGTGGCGCACACCAACCTGGTCCCAAGCTTTACGATCGCATCAGAAGAATGGGGTATTTTTGGCCTTCCATGATGAGTGATGCAATTGCATATGCCCGAAAGTGTAATGCATGTCAAATACACATGAATTATGTGCACCAACCTCCAGAGCATCTACATCCTTCGGTTACGTCATGACCGTTCGAGACTTGGGGAATGGACATTGTTGGCCCTATAAACCCCCCATCAGTCAAAGGCGACCGGTTCATCTTGACGATTACCGATTACTTCTCCAAATGGGCTGAAGCAGTTCCACTCAGAGAAGTTAAAACGAGCAATGTCATTGGATTCATCAAGCACCGCATCATCTATAGGTATGGTGTTCCAAGACGAATCATACATGACAACGGTCCTCAGTTTGTCAGCAACGCCTTCATAAGGTTCTGCGAAAAGTTTAAAATTCAGGATATCTCGTCGACGGCTTATAATCCTACAGCGAATGGATTAGCTGAAGCCTTCAACAAGACTATCATCAAACTCTTGTCAAAGATCGTGAAAACTAATAAACGAGACTGGGATGACAAGCTTGGCGCGGTTCTATGGGCCTATCGGACCACGGTGCGCACACCAACGGGAGCAACCCCGTATTCACTGGTGTACGAATGTGAAGCTGTTCTTCCATTGGAGATCCAAATCCCGTCTCTTTGGATCGCTCTTGCAACCCAAATGACGACCGAAGAACAACATCAGAAACGCCTCGAAGAACTCGAGAGGCTCGATGAAGAGCACCTGGAAGCTCAACAGCAAATTGAGTTTTACCAAGCTAGAATTTCTCGAGCCTTTGACAAAAAGGTTCGACAGAGAAGTTTCAAAGAAGGAGATCTGGTCCTCACCGCTCGCCGACCGATGATCCTGAACTCCAAAAAGAAGGGTAAATTTGAACCCAAATGGGAGGGACCATTCGTAGTGGAGACAGTCTACTCGAGTGGGGCATATCGCCTTGTCACCAAGGACGGTGACCGGCTTATGATGCCGATAAACGGCAAGTTCCTGAAAAGATACTATCCTTAGTATCTTCAGGATAACCAATGCATCGGGAAGTTCCCGGAAGAATACTACATGGGTATTCTTAGGGATAACCCAATCATTGTAGAATTGACGAATAAGAAATCTACATTCGAACTCTGAATGTCAGAATGTTTCTTATGAGTTATTTTCCTGAGATGAGATCTAATCCTCTGATAGGTTAATCTTTCCTCACCAAATCATCCGCTGATCAAATTAAGCGACAGTGGATTCACCAACATTTCCATCTGCCAGTCATTGGCATTTCTCAAGACTCGACGTGTTAGGTCAGAATCACCTAGCATTGAGGTCTCCCTTTGAGTGATAATACGAGTTGGCACTGTCCTTGCTACCCGTATTCCACTTTCTTTGCTTTCTGGCCAAACCTATAAAAGTTAGGGCCAAAGCCAAAATCCCCTCTCGATTCCTCCAATGAACGAGAGGTCCACTTTCAAATCGAGTGACCCAAACCTTCCGACAGTTAGGGTTATCCGAATCTTTCTGATTCTCGGAGTGGAGATCCCACTCTTAGTTTCATCCTTCCGGATTCTGGGGGTGGAGATCCCACCTCGAGTTTCCTTTCTGCCTGAAGATAGAATATAAAATTCTTTCTCTTCGGCAACGGGGGATAGAATATAAAATTCTTCCTCTCTCGTTTCTTTTCCAGCTGTAGATAGAATATAAAATTCTTCCTCTTCAGCACCGGGAGATAGAATATAAAATTCTTCCTCTCCCGTGTCCTTTCCAGCTAAAGATAGAATATAAAATTCTTCCTCTTTGGCACCAGGAGATAGAATAAAAAATTCTTCCTCTCCTGTTTCCTTTCCAGTTGAAGATAGAATATAAAATTCTTCCTCTTCAGCACCAGGAGATAGAATATAAAATTCTTTCTCTTCCGTTTCTCATCCAGTTGAAGATAGAATATAAAATTCTTCCTCTTCAGCACCGGGAGATAGAATATAAAATTCTTCCTCTCCCGTTTCTCAATCTGTCTTTGCTTTTAGAAAAGACACGATTGTCAACTTCCAATCTGGGCACTCGATGCACGGGGAATTTCATCCCGAAGCCTAAGTAGGGATAAGCCAACGCCTAACACGCGTTGCCGGGTAGTCTATTCCCGTGAGAAAGACGAAGCCTATGTACTCAAAATCATAGCACAAAGCCTCAGAGAGTTTACTCTCTTAGCACAACGTTACATGTGAGACGGGTTTTATAATTCACATGCTAGTCCGATTTCAAACGGTAATCGGTAAAGACATATCAAACCCGTTGAGGGCTCGCTGTATTCATTGCTGCATTCATTACAACTTTGATCGTTACAATGAAATAAAAAGATAGTCTCGTTACATGTGAGACGGGTTTTATAATTCACATGCTAGTCCGATTTCAAACGGTAATCGGTAAAGACATATCAAACCCGTTGAGGGCTGGGGGTTTGCCAAAAATCCCATAAATCTGTCATTCGGAAGAAATACAGAAAAGATCACAAGAAAGAAGCAAATGCGGAGTTTCTATTAATAGATCGAGTCAAAAGCATACAACAAGAAGCTCGTTAGCCCGAAGGCAACTGGCGGCTGAGAATATGAGACTTTAAGCTAAAAAGTCTATCTACATAACTCCGCTCAAGTCCCGCCTGCAGATCAGCTCGGGCAGATTCCTCAGAATGACTTAAAATCTCCGCGGCTTCGCTCTTCAGCTTCATCAGTCTCTCTTGGGTGGATCCTAGCTTCTCGAGTTCCTGTTCCCGAGAACGCTCTAGTCGAACCAGGTTATCTGCAATAAGGGCAGCAGATTCCTCGGCGTGCTTCAAAGCCTCCTTCAACCTAGTCACCTCCTCGCGACTCGAGTCCAAGGAGCGGAGTAGCTCAGCTCTATCCGTGTCTTTCCTCGCTACGGTAGCCATCAGCTGCGCAACGGAACTCTCATGTGACTGAAGCTCGCATCCGATGGAAGATCTCAGGTCACGCCACTGTGCCATCCTATGCTCCAACTGAGAGGACACGAAAGAAGAAGCCCCGTTAACCTCCAACTCCTTCAACTCTCGTATCTCTGACTCCAGGGCAGCGAAATCGGTAGTAAAGGAGTCGGCCAATTCTGGGTATCCTTCTTCCCTCATCATCATCATGTGGCGAGAAAAGGAACGCCTGAACTGATCGAAACCGCATACTCTATGAAGAAGTTTCTCGATCAGGCCGTTATAAAAGGCAGTGAAGAAGCCGAGGTCCGTACGAAAAGCCTCTCTGTCAGGATAAGTATCGACCAAAAGGACGCGGACACGCTCGTATAAGGAAGATCGAGATCCTACAATCAACAACATAGAAGTTCAGCGGATTATCGAATACGATAAGGAAATTCAAAAGGCAAATTCTGAGCATACCAACGCCAATGGAAGTCCCCTCAGGATGAGGTCCGACAGGCTCTGAGACAGCAGCAGAAGAGGGTATATCAACCCCCGCAGGCGGATTGCTTATATCACTCGGCAAGGACGGAGAGACGTCACTTCTATGCATATTTTCAGCCCCGGGAACTGTAGTAGTATCAGGCCCAACGGCCGGTCCTATAGTTACACTCCTGTATTAGCCAAGTGGAAATTTGGGCAAATAAGGAGAATCGGGACAAGAAGATCGTATGCATACCTGCAATCCCACCGTCCTCAGATGCAGCGGGAATGCCAAGAGTCATAAGAGTATCGGCCCAAGCGGCTGGTCCTATAGTGACACCCTCTTATTAGTCAAAATGAAAATTTAGACAAATAAGGAGGAGTGGGATAATAAGGTCATCTGCATACCTGTAGACCCATCATCAGTAGGCATCTGAGGAATGCCAGGAGTCATAAGAGAATCAGTCCCAGCAGCTGATCCTATGATTGCACTCGTATGTTAGTCAACAGTCAGATGAACATAGAGAAGTACATCATCCCTAAATCATATGCGTACCTGCGAGTCCGTCATTCCGAGGCAAGCTAGATACGCCGGGAATCGATATTGGGCTAGTCCCAATGGTTGGCGCTGTAATATTAATCCTTCATTAGTCAGATAAAAGATCAAGCAAGATGAAGGGAACCAGATATATACCGGTGGATGAATCATTCCCAAAGAATGGTCTCTCGGTTCCTCTGGAAGTCTGCTCAGCCAGCATGTCAGCTAATAAGCCAGCATCGGGTTTCGAGAAGCTTGGCCTTTCCATCGCGACATCTGCAGGGTAATCTGAATGATGAAAGATGAGGAAAGCTCAAAAATACTTGCAGCAAGAACGGAAGATCTTCCTTCCCCATGCTTGAGGAAAGTAACGTTGGATGTAGATATACCTGAATACGGGACTGCAGGCTCGACATTATTCATCTGCTCAAGATCGATGTTTAGATCGATGCCCAGAGACCCGTCATGAAAGGCGTCACACATTTGCTGCATAAAGCAATCCATGTTGTCAACGCCAGGAGATTCCGAACCCGGTGGGAGTTCGCCCTCTTCGAAGAACCCTGAAGCATAAAACATGGTCACAAATCCCAAAAGGTAAATCACCTTAAAGCAATGGCAATAAAATTTTACCTTCCCCTCCATCGGCGGTGCTTCCTAAGTCTACTCTGTAAGGGCGCTGACCGTCGTGGGGCTTATGTGCGGTCTTCTTCCGCTTCGGAGCGCCAACCCTCCTAGGACCAACGGGTCGATCATGCACATGCTGTAAGGACCATGAATTTTCGATACTAGTTAAAATAATTTTACGGTATTTTCAAATATTTAATTATTATTCTTAAAAAGAGTATTTGTATTTTCTCGATTTTGTATAATTTTCTATGATTTAAAAATCTGATTATATATTTATTTAAATGATTTTGATATTTATAAATTTATTTTGTGTGATAAAAATTTCTGAAATTAATTTATTATGAAGAGATTTGGCATGCCCTTTTCTCCGCTTCTGAGCAACCTCAGCCCTGCGACCAGCCATCATAGCAGCCCGGACTGAGTACTCGGACTGTAACTCTGAGAGGCTCTTAACACTGATGGATTCATAGGCGGAAAGAAACCACTTGCAAGTAAGGAAAGTGGTCAGCGGCTTACGCCTATATGAAGGAAGAGCAAAACGGGCTCCAGTGCAGCCCACCATTGTCCATAGCCATGCTCGTACGCCATCAATAAGTCCTCCCTCAACCTGCAGGCTACGGCTCGGATTCCCGACATACAGTTGGTCATAGCCGAACTGGCGAGCAAAGCGGCAAGGGAGATAAGGCTCTATGTGGCATCGGTTCTTCACCCGGAGGACAAGATACCCAATGCGGATGTTCACTAGCCACCGGAAGCAACCAGCGTCGAGAACGGTCCGATCACTTCTAGGTTTCTCCTCATCAATCAGCACGTCGCCATAGCGACCTGAAAAGTGAGGGAAACACTTAAAGAACTCCCAGCTCTTGCGGACTCGAAGCTCTCGTTGAACATCGCTAAACTTATTCCCGAGCCATCTGCTCTTCTCCAACAGCTGCATGAAAGGGACGGGGATGTCAACAACGCTGGGCGCCGACATCAAGTCGGGACGGTGAAGAACGAGCCACGCCATCAGATATGCGTAAGGGAGCTCAACCTTCGGACAAACCAGCTCAGCTGAACTACTGAACTTTGCTGCTGAATTACATGATTAGGTTCATATGCTGCAATTTGGAAAGGCTATATCTTTGTGAGCATAAAGAATTTTCTGCCTTCTACTCTCCGAATTGTTGCAATTTACTTATTAGAAGTTCTATAATCATGTAGAAAGCAAGTGAAAAGAATAAGGAAATTCGTAACAATCAAACGCTCTTGCACACAGCGGGTTCAAAAAGTTTCGCAAGAATTCGCAGAGATATGGTAATGATGATGTTTATCTATGATTTAGACAGTGCATGAATGGCTAAGTGACTAGCTAAGTGACTGATATGTTGTTTTGTTGTAGGAAAAGGAATTGAACCGGCCTCCAACAGATGCAGAAGTGTTTCTAGAGACTCGTAAAAAGAAGAAAAAAGCACAACCAGAAAAAACACTTGAAATGATTGATACATTGGAACAGCTAACTCAGGAACAAACTGAAGGAGAAAGTGTAGATGCATGGCATCTAGTCAATAGAAAAGAGCATCCTGGACGTGTGCGTCTTCGGGGAAGGGCGATCACTCAAACCATGCTAAAAAGCAATAAGGAGAAGACCATTGATCCGTGTGATCTAGTCCCTGAGTCAATTGTTCAAGCAATAACAAAGAAGGTGGTGGCCACTCAACAAGAGGAGATGAAGAAACATCAAGAAGCTCAAGCTGCAAGTATGATTCAAACATTTGCAGAGATGTTGAGTGAAGTAACTGGACGTTCGGTTAGTCCAAGCTTTGTTGAGAGGTTTAAAGCGCGTACTAGACTTCCTGAAGAGGCTGCCAGTGTTCTAGATCATGATAGTGCATGCTCTTTGCAAACACACAAGAGTTGAAGGTAAGTACCATTTACATGTATGTTACAATCTGTTTTTTTTTTGGCATATGGCTTTCGGTTTTTGTTTCTCTTGGTTTTTATGGCCTGGTATTGGTTTTCCCTGTGTTGGAGCTTGTTTACTGGCCTTGGTTTTGCTGGAAGTGGGTGTTTTGCATTCAGAAATCACTGTAGCAGAGGAGTTTTATGAAGTTTTGTTTTCTGTTTTGTTTTCTGGTTTGTTTTCTTCGATTTCCTATTGCCTGGACTTAGGATTCAGAAATCACTGTAGCTGGAAGTGGGTGTTTACTGGACTTGGGTGTTTAGAGGCTAAGAAGAGACATATATATATAATATTTTATGGGGTAAGTAGGAACACGAGCCAAAAATATATGAGAAATTGTTTGGAGACTGTCATCTACTGTGTTCACTTCAATAATGCAATGTGAAATACTTTTAGATGAATAAACAATATGCTTTTGAAAAATAAAAAGAGCTTGAAGTGTCACCTCTTCTCTTTGCTCAAATAAATGACACGAGTTAACGTCTGAAATGATTTCAGTGAGTTGTGTGCTTGAGAAATCCTCTGCTTGGTCCATAATTGCTGACTCTTTTGGAAACCCAATCATAGAGCATTTATATAAGTTCACCAATCCTGAAACTTTGTCGGATGTTTTTAGTAAAAATCCGGAGAAATTTCCATCATCTTGGTCCCTTAATGGCTTTATTTTAAATTTTAGTATTTTCCCAGATTGACATTTACTAAAAGATACGCTAGGAATACCCTCATCCCTTAATTATCTTTGTAATCATGGAGACACATATTAATTGTGTGTGATTGACCAAGCTAGTACACCAGAAGACAGATAAAGATGATTATTTTGTAGTAACTCTTGCAAATTTATACTTGACAATAGTTCTGAAATTATACGGATATTCTTCTATGTTGCTGAGACTGATATATAAGATAAAAGGAAAGGCATATGCTTTTTTACCTCTAATTCCGAGTTTAATATTTATTATGTTGTGGATCCAGTGACTTTAGATTCAAGCATCTCAACTAAAAGACAATCTTTTCCTTTTTTCCTTTTATTTTATCATAGTTATCTACAGAATGCAAGTCATGTGCCTTATCTGCAAAATCATAGAGGGAGGAAGGAAAGCTTACATTCATTCCAACATCAAGGTTGGGGACTATACTGATTCATATACTTTTTTTAGTAATGGGATTTATTAGTGTCTTTCCTTGTTTCAATTAGTTTTTTCAATGAGTAATGGTCATTGCCCGTCTTTGATCTTGGCAAGGAGTATAGTCATTATATTTGTCATCGCAAGGCTTGAAAGCCTGGACACTTGAATCAGAGAGGTCATTTGGTTTGGAGTTCCTCTCACAAAATCCAAGTTAGAATAACATGGGGATCGATCAAGGGCATCAGATTCATGATGAGTCAAGTAAAAAAGGAAAAAAGAAGCAGAGACCTTTCGGTTTTTTATTGTCTCAGGTCATCAAGCTCATAATACATGTAAAAGGCTCACTACTTGCCTAACATTTTAAAAGTGATCGATCGAGCAGCTATGATTCGATAAATCTTAAGCATATTACCCCACATGCAATAATAAGTCTTATTAACTTTTACATTACATCAGCTAGCAGCTAGCTAGCTTGTGTTCTTAGAAAAGAAGAAGGAAAAGAAAGCAGATGCAAATTTAATGTGAACAGAAAGGAGAAGTGACACATGCACCAGCATACGTCTAACCAAACCAGTATGTATTTGACCTATGTTATTTACGCTAAGATGAGATTTGGAGTGACCGACCTGTGATGATACACCTACCAACAGATTGCTAATTAAATCCACATGTTACTGGCGATACTCCTTAAAATTGGTTTTTTGTTTTTCTTTTTCTATACCTTATATGTTAGGCATTTCATCGAATGAACTTCCATTCATGATCGTATGTGAAGAAGACTTTCTTATAGTGGATGTGAAGATGTAAATTTAATATGAACAGAAAGGAGAAGTGACACATGCACCAGCATACGTCTAACCAAACCAGTCTGTATTTGACCTATGTTATTTCTTATGCCTGTTCAGAAAAGTTTCTGGTTTATAATATAAGTTGCATCATAAATAGAGATCAGCTTCAATCTTTCTTAACCCCTCTGGATAAGTAATTAAGTAATTGATATTCTTCAATGTCTGCTATTGTTAGTTATATTTAATTGTCAATATCCTGTAGCTAGCTAGTTAGTACTGCGCATATGCTTTCTTTTCCTACATACCTTTGATTAATTTCTCTTAACATTTTCTTTAGTCTCATTTGAATGCTTCAAAATATGATTGGTTAAAATTCTTAATTTATCACGTTGACATTTTCAGCTTATAAATCATGGGGTGCCCGATGTCGTGATCAAATCATTGAAGGCTGACATTGAAGAATTTTTCCAGTTGCCCTTAGAGGAAAAGAAAGCATATGCGCAGTTGCCTGATAGCATGGAAGGCTACGACCATGCATTTGTTGTCTCAAAGGAGCACGACCGCTTAGTTTCATTAATAGTATGATAGCTAGATTCTGAGTTGAAATGTTGGTAGTGTGGATTTAATATTTTGTAGTTTTTATACTTTACTACTGAATGTTGGCACTTATCGTTATGGTTATGCTTAACATTTTCACTTTGATATTGTGTATTAAAGTTTGATTTGGCCATGTTCTTAAAAAGATTGTCCAGGTAATTGGATACTATATGATTTTGATGTAGAGAACCAAGAACAACCAAATAAGAGCTGTTGCAATAGCTCAATCAAAACCGTTGCAATAGCTCGACCAAAACTATTGCGATAGCTCAATCCAAACCGTTGCGTTAGGTCTTTTAAAACCGTTGCCTTAGGATTAAAAAGCTGCTATTAGGAACAAAAATAGAACCGCTGCCTTAGGTCAGGAAAATCGTCGCGCTTGTGTGCGGTTCATTAAAATGAACCGTTGCTTTAGCTATGGTAACCATAGTCTTAGGTGGCAATAAACCGCCACATTAGACTAAACCGTTGCATTAGGGTACCTAATGGAACGGTTATTAAACTGTTCCTCTATAGGGGAAAACCGTTGCCTATAGTCTAGGGCAACGCCCGCAAAGAAGACGGATGGGCAACCGCTGCACTTGCCCTAAGGTAACGGTTTTTATGCTAATGTAACAGTTTTTAACCGTTGCCTTAGCCTAAGTCTGTGGTAGTGTTATAAGTTTGTTTTAGGCTTCAGCATCAGATGCTAAAGAATTTGGTCAAGAGGCATTTGACCAGGAAAAAAATTAACTGGCCCCAGCTCAGCAGTAACCGACCCATCTGCTCTACATGCAAGGATTAAAGAAATGAAGGGGGAAAAAAGAATGTCATTACGAACAATGCTTGGCTAAATTGCTCTCAGTTGTATAAAGCTTTCTTCATCAGCGTACAAGTTACACAAAAGAAACTAAGTTGTATAAGCTTTCTTCATCAGTGTGCAAGTTACACAAACGAAACTAAGGGAGTGTTTGGCAACTCCAAAATAAAACTGTACTAGAATTAATTTTCTCTTAACCTGGCCATAATGTTCCAGTTAGGGGTTGGTCCAAAATAGAACTAGGTTAAGGGTAAAAAATTGAACTAGAAAAAGTTGGTTCAGTTCTAGTCTAACTTTTGCCAAATTAAAAAGGGTTTTTATATGGAAACACACATTTAAAATAGAGGTGCAATACAAAAACTATCTTTATTATTTAGTTTATGCAAAATCCACCATAAAATTAAGTATATTTCATTTCAATCAATCACAAAAACCCATTTTCTGTTGACTTTTTTATCAGTGTTTACCGTTATTTTACCCCTCCCCCTCTTGCTCTCACTCTCATAACCATCTCCCTCTTCTTCTACCTCTAGATTTAGG